CGTCTACGATTATTATCTTCAAGATCCTGACCACAATATTGACAATTATGACCTAAAAATCCTAACCAGATAAATTTTTGTTCAGTTAAACTATTGGGTAGCTTTATATTTGATTTTAAAAATTTCGATCTTGAATTACACCATATTTGTTGTGTATTTGTCGAATTCGACCATAATATAATCCTGAACTGTTTACAAACTAAGGATAACGTGTATAAATCTTTTGGATGTAAATTTTCGCAAATGTCCATGAATAATTCTTGTGGTAAACTTAAAAGTTGTGACGACGAATAGGTGGGTTTTTGCGTTGTTTCTTTTTCTTTGCTTGATGTTGTGTCTGTTAAGCCCATTTTGATTTCTTCTTTTACGCTTTGATTCTGCATCATTAATGTGTATATTTATATATATATATATATATATATATATATATTATTTCTTCCTTCGTTGATTCAAAAAATTTGTTGATTCAAAAAATAAATTAAGCCTTGCTTTTGGGTTAAAAAAAGGTGATGATTTTCTGAAATATATTTAATGAATGACAACCAATCACGTAATTTTCAATAGTTGATCGTCGCGTTAATAAAAAAAATAATTTCGTCAAATAAAAAAAAAAAAGGTACGCCTTCGCCTTTTTTATTTTTATTTTTTTTTAAAAAAAAAAAAAAATTTTATTAATTTATTTGGTAATGCGAACATGTGATTGATTTTTGATCTGGTAACAAAAACTGGTGAGATAATACCAGTTTTGTCTTGATTTATTGTTCGCTTATAATACTTATATGTGCTGCTTCGATACGTTTCTAACAATAGCAACCTTTCTTTTCTCTCTTTTTTTTTAAAAGAAAGGAACTTAATGAGAACAAATATAGATTTGACTAAGAAAATAAAAAATAAATAAAGTGATCCATAAAGATATTTAACACGATTTTTTGCGGGACCCAAGACTGAAAAGACTAATAATTTAAAAAAAAAAAATTAGAGATCTTTTACAAAAAAAAATCATTTCAATTTTCTCTCTTTATTTTATTTTATTTTTTTTTTTTCACTATAAAAAATATCACATTTTCAGAGAACATCGAACCTCCGACCGATAAACTTTAGTTAATAATTACACCAAGTAACGTATTTATAGAAAGTTACATAGTAATTTGTTACGAATGATTATATAATTTCATGCTCATTTCGAATATATAAGGATCATTATTTTTCATCTCCCATATCAAACTTTATCATCAATCATGTCAAGTCGATCAAGTCGCCAAAGATCAACTTCATCTCATGCTAATTCTTCACCTTCTCATTCGCCTTCACCTACCTCCTCTTCAATACAAACATCATCATCATTTGTAAATCCTTGGGTAAAAGAGGAACTTATAGCAATCCTCGATTATATCAATGATAACATTGCTGATTGGCTAGCCCATCCAAAACTTCTTTGCGAAAAAGCGATACAACAAAATATAATTGAACAAAGAAGCATTCAGGCCGTTTATCAAAAAGCTTATAATAGTATAAACGCGATGAGAATATGGTTAAAAAACAAAAAGAAAGGTCACGAATCAATTATCTGGAGTGACACACAGGTGAAAGTGTTGTTGGAGGAAGTTACAAGGAAAATTATTAAGGAGGAAATCGAGGATGAACGTGAGGCAAACGATGTCGAATCAATCGACTCGGAACAACAAGAGAGTTCGTCCGAAGAAAAGGATAAGGATATAAATTATGAAGAGGATAACGAGGAAGAGATGGATAACAAAGCAAATGAGGTGATGAATATTGAGTAAGCCCTTTATGTTCCTATTAAATCCTTTTGATGTCAAATTCAATGTTTAAATCTAACGATTAAAATCTCATTTTAGCGATTCTGATGTTTTTCCTGAAACAGATCCACCTTGTTTACCATTCTCCATTCCAATGTTGGATGAGATGTATAAAATCAAATTGAAAGATATCGACGATATGGATAGCGATGAATCAAAGGATTTGGCCAAAGAGGTTCTCAATAAGAAGTATAAAGAAATCCTCGAAATGATCCGTAATGTTTATATGAAACACGAAGAGATTGTCCGCTTAATCCATAAAACTGAAAATAAAATATTAGAGTTTAATAACGAAGATTGGTATTAAGGCCTTATGGAATGGAATTCTTAAATTTTAAGATGATAACTCATTCATCCGTTCTTTTTCCTTTGTATTCTCTTTTTTTTTATTTTTTTAAAAAAAAAAAAATTTGATTTACTTACGATGATGTATAGTAATAAAATGTAATATTAAATTTACCTGAGGTGAAATCCATGAAGGAGGCGACGTTGATAGAAAAACTTTGGAAAATTTTCTGTTTCGGGTATTCTTCCAGCACAAATGATTCACCACAAGTTGGTATGCCACTTTGTTTTGATTGTTTGTGATGCCTGATATATATATATATATATATATAGTATTCCTATTATCTAATTCAAATATAAAATCGTCAATTTTATATTCTCTAAATGAAAAATCATCTCACAGAAAAGTATGTGAATAAATGAAACCTTAAGAAGTTCTGTCACATTATTATCTTTTTCAACAAATGGATAATCTTCAGAGGTTTAAACTAACGATTGTCTAAATGGGGAATAAAATATATTAATTAATAAATCAGATCGAATATAAATTATAACTTCTATCTACCTGATATCATGAATAGTTATTTTTTTTATGGGATCAACGACAAGTATCGAAGACAAAAGATATATGGCCTCAGGTGATAAAAATGAAGTATAAATACCAACCTAATATGCCGAAATAATTATGTTACAATTTAAACCAGTGTTGGCATTTGGCCACGGCCAAGAGATTTTTTTGGCAATTTGGCCGTGGCCAATGGACAAAATGGCCAAACAGCCAAATTTCGGCCAAATAACAAATGTATTAATACTTATAGGATTTTATTGACGGCCAAATTGGCCAAACGGCCAATGGCTAACCTCAGCCAAATGACCAAAGACCGACACTGATTTAAACTGACTTTCCAGAATTCTTTGAAACAAAAGTAAATTAATATACCTTTAATTTTTTTATCAAAGCATAACATACAAAATGACACCCATCAACTTTGGGTCCTGTCAGAAATGATTTTTGGTGCCGCGTAATTTGGACCGCAGCTCGTTTTCAAGAATTCATGATATTCGATAATCCATAATCCGTGATTTTTACATTTTAATAAGGATCCAAAAGAAGACTTTTCGAGATATATATGAAGAAAAAAAAAATTAACTCATGTTTATAAGAACATTTTTTACAAAGATTTTTTAAATTTTACTTTTCAGGTTTTAAATCTCGGTGTGCAATCTTGTCTCGAAAATTTGCTGTAAGAATCTTCGATAAATTGTTTAATCCATTTATTCCTTCTAACGAATTAATTCTATTAATCTGGTAAATCATTGAAAGATAAAGAAGGTTATATGTATTTTTTTTTTTTTTAAAAAAAAAAAATAATAATACTCCTCCAATTTTTGATAGTCGAACGCATTTTCTTTTCTACCTTCGAAAAATTCATCCTTTATAAGCATTTTTCTGATGTCAAGTTTCAGATAGCACAAGAAGACGATTTATTAGAACGGAAATACCAAGATTTTTGTATTATCAACAGATAATGATGTAGTTTGAGGAGTGGTATTCAAATATTATTTGAAAGATTATATTACTGAATCATGAAATTTTAGGCGGATTAAGACC